GCCTGTTCAGAGTCATTGCTTACCTCTTTTTTTTTAATATTAATCTATTTATCTGAAAGGCAGAGTTACAGAGAGGTAGAGGCAGAGAGAGAGGTCTTTGATCCACTCGTCACTCCCCAGTTGGCTGCAATGACTGGAGCTCAGCTGATCCAAGTCAGGAGCTTCTTCCAGGTCTCCCATGTGGCTGCAGAGGCCCAAGGACTTGAGCCATCCTCCACTGCTTTTCCAGGCCATAGTAGAGAGCTGGACCAGAAGTGGAGCAGAAGTTCGAGCCAGGACTTGAACTGTTGCCCATGTGGGATGCCAACACCACGGGCGGTGGCTTTACCTGCTATGCCACAGCACTGGCCCCAGCTTGGCTCTTTTTGAGAACTAAATTTGCTTTCCTTTTCCTTTTCAATAACCCTGGTGTAGAACTACCAGTTTCTCTGATCAATAAATTATCTGCTAATCTGCTCTGCCGCTTTAAAGAATGTCTGAGGCAACAAGGCTGTGTGCTTTGACAGCTAGTTTCTTTGCAGAGGAATAAGGAAAAGGAAGTTTGGGTGATTCCAAAGAAAACTGCTGCAGACGCTTCTGTGCAAAATTCAGGCTTTTTAACAGTTCATCTCATGCATGGTTATTTTTCACGTTCAGCCCCATGATGGTCACACAGGTTGGACACTGGGTTTTGCAGGACAGAATTTCCTTGTACACAGAGAACAGTCTCAAGTGTCTGCCAAGGTACTGAGGCCGTTACCGTGCCAACGTGTGGTAAGTCCAGTTGGTAGCAGAAAGTAGGCATAAACCAAATTCACCACACTCTAGGCAGTGTAAAGTGCTCTCCCTGGCAAAGAAAAGGCACATGGGAGCAACAGAATGGTAACTACTGGTAGCTAACTTACTCTTGAAGCTAGGTCACTCCTACTAGGTTTTTCCTGTCTTTGACAACCGTTCACTGGAGTCCCATTCACTCTCGTTGCTGAAGCGCTCGCTCCTCCTGTCTACAGACTGTGGCAGTCTCATCTGCTTCCGTGGATCAGTTACACACATACCCATGATTCCGTATCTCTGCTTTTAGCCAGTTCTCCCTCATGAACTGGTCGTTTGTGTGCACAACTCAGTAGACATTTCTACTTGAGTGTTTCACTGGCTCTTTTTTTTTATTATTTGTTTTTGAGATACAGAGAGACAGAGATCTCCCATTCATTGTTTCGCTCTTCAGATGCCCACAATGGCAGGGGCTGGCCGGGAGAAGCCAGGACTGGAAGCTCACTCCAGGTCTCCCAGTGGTGGCAGGGACACAGTCACTCCAGCCATCACCTGCTGCATCCCCACGTGCCCATCAGCAGAAAGCTGGAGCCAGGTACTCAGAACCCAGGCACTCTGGTAAAGAGTGTAAGCATCCCAAATGGCATCCTTCTCCACCAAATACCACCCCTCCCTAGCTCCTTAACGTCATGATTTAAAAAAAAAAAAAAAGATTTATTTATTTATTTGAAAGTCAGAGTTACAGAGAGAAAAGGAGAGGCAGAGAGAGAGAGAGAGAGGTCTTCCATCCACAGGTTCACTCTCCAGTTGGTTGCAACGGCCGGAGCTGTACTGATCCGAAGCCAGGAGCCAGGAGCTTCTTCCAGGTCTCCCACGTGGGTGCAGGGGCCCAAGGACTTGGGCCACCTTCTACTGCTTTCCCAGGCCCTAGCAAAGAGCTGGATCAGAAGTGGAGCAGCCAGGACTAGATCCGGCGCCCAGATGGGATGCCGGCACTTCAGGCCAGAGTGTTAACCCGCTACGCCACAGTGCCGGCCCCTTAATGTCGTTATTACATACAGACCTGGAATAGGGCACCTGATTCCCCTTCTCTGGGTCCTGCCTTGATGGTTGACACCACTGGACCAAGCTAGAAATCTGGAAGCCATCCTTGATTCTTCCTTCATCCACCACATCAAATCACTCGGTGATTTGTGATTGACTCTTGTAGATATCCACTTCCCTTCACCCCAATTCCCAATACCTTAGTTTGAGTCAACTTCACGATTCATTGGGATATTTGCAATAACCTCCTGACAAGTCTCTGTGCCTCCAGTTTTAATTTGACTAAGAGCTGTCAGGGGAGAAAATAAAAATGGGTTGGCATTGGTTTGGGGCACTTCAGATGGAGTTGGGAAGCCGTTGTTAAAGTGGATTTCAGACATGTCTGTGGCTGAAACTTTGAATTAGGCTGTCGCTGTACACACCTGGCTGCAAACCCACCTTGGACACGATGAGGCAAACTGCAGTCCACAGCTTTCGTTAGCCATTTGTGAAACTCCCCCCTCCCAGTTCCCGAAATTACCTAGAGACTGAGACAATGTCCAATCCCTTTCTTACAAGAACGCTTGATTCTAGTTAGCATCAGTCACAATTCTTTTAAAGATTTGTTTATTTTAGTCACAATTTTTAAAGGTTTATTGATTTATCTGAAAGACAGTGATAGAGAGAGAATCTTCCATCTGCGGGTTCAGTCACGCAGCCAGGAGCTTCTTCCAATCTCCTATGTGGGTGTAGGGGTGTAAGAACTTGGGCCATCCTCGGCTGCCTTCCCAGGCCATCAGCAATGGAGCAGCCGGGACTCAAACCGGCCCCCATTTGGGATGCTGGCCCCTTCTGTCACAATTTCTAACAAGCAAATGATATAACCAGCATCCCTGTGATGTTGAGTTTAAATACATCCACCATCTTACAACACCCCGGAACATATTCTCAGTGCCGCTTGCATTTGTCTTCTCAGACTGCAGGACTATTAAGCCCACATGAGTGTAATTTTTCTGTTCGCAACTAGGCTTTTACCTTGGTCAACAGGAAAAAGAAAGCCCCAGGGGGGAAAATGGACTGTTAAAGAGCTACTCATAGAAATATTCTATTTTGGGATGGTGTGTTATTCTGTGTTTGCCATAGAAACACTCGCACACTCACAGGATGGAGATGGGAGGGCCAGTAGACTTGGCTCACGTCCTGATGGAGGCAGGCGAACCTGAAAGCCGCAGAGCTGGTGTCCCGGTTCCACTCTGAATGCTAGCAGGCTGCCGCAGGACCCGGAGGAACCAGGGTCCCAGTTCAAACGCTGCCCAGTAGAACGCTCCCTTGCTAGGGAGAGCGTCAGCTGTTTTTGTTCTGTTCAGGCCTACAGTGGGGTAGCTGAGGCTTATCCACATTGTGGAGGTTAATCTGCCTTACTCAGCCTGTGGACTGAAATGCTAATCCCATGCAAAGACATCCTCACCGACAAACCCAGAACAATGCCCGACCACCCTGCAGTCCAGTCAGACTGCACATTAAATTAGCCACTTAAGCAAGTAAAATGATAACCTGGATATTAATAACCAAGAGCTAAGTGGCAAGGTGTGTATCGACCAGCAAATCCACTCTGGCGTCATAGACTCACAGCCAAATTATTTTATCTCAGTCTGTGTTTCCTGTTCTGTAAATAGGAACGCCGTGTCCTCGAAGGGTTGATGAGGTTCCATGAAATGTTTATGAAGCTCCTCACAGTGACACCTAGCTCATGCTCATAATTTTTGAAAATGATATTATTTGCAAAGTTAAAAGTTTCGTCTTACTGACTTTAGTGGCATGAGGCTTCCAAAAGTGATTGATCTGAGTATTAAGTTCTCTGAGGTTTGTGTAGAAGTGATAATGAGCTACACTCACTAAGTTTTTAAAAAATGAAACTCTTGGGGCCGGTGCTGTGGCACAGTGGGCTAAGCCTCTGCCTGCAGTGCTGGCATCCCATATGGGCACCGGTTTGAGTCCTGGCTGCTCCACTTCCGATTCTACTCTCCTATGACCTGGGAAAGCAGTGGAAGATGGCGCAAGTGCTTGGGCCCCTGCACCCACGTGGGAGACCCGGAAGGAGCTCCTGCTCCTGGTTTCCGATCTGCTCAGCCACACCTACTGCGGGCACTGGAGAGTGAACCAGAGATGGAAGACCTGTCTCTCTCTCTCTGTAACTCTACCTCTCAAAGAAATAAATAAAATATTTTTTAAAAAATAAATAAACCTCTTAAGTCTTTATGAAAATGTCTACACTTTGAGTTCTTCCCAGCCTCTCCCATGAAACAGAGCAAAAAGTAAAATAGAAAGGAATAGTTATTTTTAAAGCTACTTTTAAAATAAAATAAGCTTCTCCACAGAGTATCCATAGCAACACAAAATGTAAGGAGAGCTGAGCCAGGGGCCTGCCCGGCCCCAGACACGAGGGATTGTCAGTATTTATGCGGAGGAGTAAAACTGGCCACAGAAAGCTCACTACCACGGCCAGGCTTGCCTCGAGCTGACCGCGACTCACGAGAACCAGGAACGAGTAACGTGTTCCCCTCTAACTCAGGGGGAAAGCCACACGTGAGGGGGAAAAGAGGAAGCACACACACAGAACAAAGAAGGCTCAAATGTATGGAACACGTACATATAGACAGATGTGAAGGATGTAGAGCCAAAGGCTAAGATGCATTAAATCTGTGTGGTAGGAATACATGGTATTCTTTAAATCATTCACCTTTCCTCTGTATTTGAAACACGTCAGCAAAACTTTTGAAGGAGAGCAAGTATGTAGTCTAGAGGTTACGACGCCCAGCAATGATGGCTCCAACACTGGGTCCCTGTCACCCAACAGGAGGCCCTGGCTCCTGGCTCTGGCCTGGCCCAGCCCTGGCTGTTGTGGGCATTTGGGGAGTGAACCAGCAGATGGAAGATCTCTCTGCATCTGTCTCTTTGCCTTCTAAATAAAATCAAAGTACACTTTAAAAAGACACCCAGCTCTGCCTCCTGACTCCAGGTTCCGGCGAACGCAAACCCTGGGAAACCGCGACGCATGGGCTCTGCCACCGACGTGGGAGCCTGGATGGAGCTCCCGGGTCCTGACTTTGGTCAGCCTAGTCTGCACTACTGTGAGCACCCAGAGTGAGCCAGTGGATGGGGGTTCTCTCCCTCTATGTTTGTCTCTCTCTGCCTCTCAAACAAAAGAAAGTTATAAAAGAATAAACTCAAAGAAGCAGAAATGAAATTTATTTTTGTACATTTTAAAAATTGCCATTTTGAAGACTTTTAAGAAAATATTTTTCTAATACTCAAATAAGCATCTCTTTGGTATAGATATCACATCGTATGTGTGATCTTTAACTAAAAACACTAATCAAGAACTGTGACCTTATGTGCTAAACAGAACTATCTCTGTCCATCCTGGCGTCCCCGATCAGTGGCCCACTGTGAGGCCCTGGAATATAGTTCTGTACAAATTCCTCATTTACAAAATTACGATGTCCTGTCAGAGATGTCTGCGAGTTCTACTAAAGAAGAAAAGTAGCTGACTGATTAAACATGTCACAAAACAACAAAAAGCAATACAAGATACAGGGTAAACAGAACATCGTCACTAAGGTCAAATATGGAAACAATGACAGCATTCACATTTGACGCACTGGCAACAAAGTAACCGTCCAGAAATACTACAGAAATCATTCACAGCCCTTCAAAAAGTAACAGCACAACGCCATTCACTGGATAAGGCACTTTCAAGACCGTGGTAAAACAGAAAAGCATCACGTACAAGAAATATTAACTATGAAAGCAGTTCACCGCAGAAATAAATGAGGAAAATGCGCACCCTTTCTAAGTGGGCTTTGGTTTCCTAAAGGCTTTTATAAAGCATCACAGAAGAGCAAAATTATTTCATATATTCTTAAAAGCTATCATCAAAATACAAATCTCCACAAAAAGAGCATGTTTCCCTTTAAGTCAATGACACTGTGGTTCAGCCTGTTTTTAGAGAAACAGTTACAGTCCTCGTGCTCAAAACTGCAAGGGGGGCCGGCGCCAGGCTCACTAGGCTAATCCTCCGCCTTGCGGTGCCGGCACACCGGGTTCTAGTCCCGGTCGGGGCGCCGGATTCTGTCCCGGTTGCCCCTCTTCCAGGCCAGCCCTCTGCTGTGGCCAGGGAGTGCAGTGGAGGATGGCCCAAGTCCTTGGGCCCTGCACCTGCAAGGGAGACCAGGAAAAGCACCTGGCTCCTGCCATCAGATCAGCGCGGTGCGCCGGCCACGGCGGCCAGTGGAGGGTGAACCAACAGCAAAAGGAAGACCTTTCTCTCTCTCTCACTGTCCACTCTGCCTGTCCAAAAAAAAAAAAAAAACACACAAAAAAAACCTGCAAGGGGGCGGGTGTTTGGTCTAGTGGGTAAGACATCATCAGGGTGCCTGCACCCTGCACGGGAGTGCCTGCTTTCACTGCTGGCTCTCGCTCCTGACTCCAGCTCCCTGCTAACATGGGTTCTCAGCATCAGCAATGATGGCTCAAGTAACTGGGTCCTTGCCGCCCACGTGGGAGCCCTGCAGTGAGTCCCCAGCTCCCGGCTTTGGCTACTGCAGGCATTCGGGGCGTGAGCCAGGAGATGGGGGCGCCCTCCCTGTCTCTCTCCATCTCAGACACAGATTCTAATCAGGAAGAAGAAAACAGGCTCGAATGACATTTGCCAGCTCATAGTCAACACTGACGCTGGGCGACACTGCTTTAGGTGCTGAGGATACAGAAGTAAAACACAGCCGCTAGCTCTAGAGAACTTAGCTACTGAAGCTCCTTCTGCCACCGGCGACGTCAGTCTTCAAAGAACCACAGCCTTCTCCTAAGAGGGCCAAGGAAAGGTGCGTTCTCCGTCCCTTATTGCCAGTGGTCCCCAAGATGCAGCTCAACTTCTAACACTGCTGCTCTTGGCGTCTTCTCAGAAACCGTGTGACGGTTCACCTGATCCACCCTGGCAGCGCTGTGGCAGCATTAACATTTGCATTTGCATACAGGAACCCATTTGCATACAGGATTCCATGAAATTTAGAGGACACAGGTACTAAAGCGTAAGCAAACACGGGCTGGCATCAAAAATAGTATCAGCATTCTGCTTTCACGAAAGTCACGAAAACCAAGCAGAATTCAATCACGAGAAGCCGTGCTGAGTGTACAGGGCCTGCTAGAAGGAGCTCAAGCCGTACATGTGGGACACACGTATCCACATGTGCAGATACCACACACGAGGAGCCGGGAATGGGTGCCCGGCCGTTAGCCCAGCACCTAAGCAGGCCGAGTCAGCCGTCAGACTTCAGAGACTCGTAGCCTTCTTTCAGGAGGTGCCGCCACGTTTTCAGGAAGCGCGCGTTCTCTGTACACTTGCAGGCCAGCTCTTCCACCTGCGCCGACACTGCCGACGTGGCTTCCAGAAGCTTGCTTAATGAAAACGCTGCCTGAGATGAGAAGAAAAAGCAGTTATTTTTAAAGCTGTCATTTTATACACAGTCGGAAAATGGCTTTCACATGAATCTGGTACCCAGGCTACTACACACTTCCACGGGCTGGCGCTCTGGTGGAGTGAGCTAAGCGGCAGCTGGTGATGCTGGCCTCCATGCAGAGGGCCGGTGAGAGCAGGTGTGTCGCTTCTGACCCAGCTTCCCGCCAGGGCACCGGGAAGGCACTGGGAGCCGCCCAGGTACCTGGGGCCCAGCACGCGCACGAGAGACCCGCACGAGTGCGCGGCTCCTGGCTCCGGCCTGGCCACTGCGGCCATCCGAGCAGGGAACCAGGGGACGGACAATGCCTGCCTCTCCCTCTCTCTCTGGCTCTGCCTTTCAAGTAAATAAATAAATGTTTTCAACATAAAAGTAGTAAGTTTTCAAACGAAAACATCGGCTGTTTGTAGAGAGCCTCAAGAATTACTGACTTGCAGGTCAGCTTTGAGGGCATCTGGCCCCACCGTCTGTGCGCCATGACCAAGGCGGTATTTTTATTTTCCCTGAAAACACCGTGGAGTCCCTGAACTCCGGAAAGCGATGGAGACGCCTCCTCTCCACCTGCCCTAAGTATCTGAAGGACTTCACCCTCGACGCCTGATGGTGCAGCCTCAAAGGCACCGTGCCACCACCCTGCTGTCAATCCTGACCCTGCAGGACAAGAAAAGCAGACGTCAGAGAGGAGCCACCACCGAAACCACACGCGCATTCAGAGAACACCCAGCCCTGACGTTAGCCTCAGTTTCCAAAGGTTTTCTGCACCTAGGATAAAACCCCGCACAGGGGCGCCTGGTCCACACTGGACACACGGTGCGCATCATCCATCCCGAGGACGGGGTGCTAGGGTGGGGCGTGCGTGCTGGCCCGCGGCAAGGCCAGGTTTCCCAGCAGACACCCAGGACAGCAGTCCAGCGCCGAGCAAGCCTCGCGCCGACCGCAGCATCGACAGCCGGCCCCCGCCAACCTATCTTCCGTCCGCAGTTGCAGGCTCCGGTAGCCGCGAGAGCGGGGCTCCGGCGTGTCGGGAGGGCCGATCCCGATTGAGAAGAGCCTCCATCCCGAGGCCGGGCGGAAGGAGCCCCCGCAGCCCGCCGCCGGGCCCGGGCAGGTGGCCATCGGGAGCCGCAGTGCGGGGCGCGCGCGGCCGGGGTCGCGCCCCCGGCTCTCGCTGCGGGCCCCGCGACACTCACGTCTCCGATCTGCAGCTCCACCAGCTCCAGCCGATCCACCGCGCGGCCGCCGCTGGCGCTCGCAGAGGCTGAGGAGGCGTCCGAGGACGACGGAGAAGAGGGCGGAGGCGGGGGCGGCGAGGCAGCCCGCAGCTCCGCGGGCGCAGCCATGGGCAGGGGCCGCGGCAGCCGAACCGACGCCAAGCGCCTTTCAACCGCTCGCGCCCAACACCCAAAGGCGCCGCCTTCTCCTTCCCGAAGGCCCGCCTTGTGGGTCAACCCAGGGCCACAAAGACGGTTCGCTTCTGCGGGACAGCCAATCAAACGTCCGTCAATGCCCTTTGGGCGGCTTAGTGCCGCTGCGCGGAGCTCCCACAGGGCGCGGAGTGCTTGGGAGCAGAAGACTACAACTCCCAGGATGCCGTGCGCCTCGCGCCCCCTCCCACTGCCCCGCAGTGCGCGTGCGTTACGCTCCGGGCTGTGCGGGCCCCGCCCACCACGCCTGGACCAGCCGGAAGCGCAGGCCGAGTTTTCAGCCTGAAAGCGCGGGGCGCTCTGGGACTTGGAGTCCTTGCGCTTTTCCTGGTCTGCTGCTTGACCCGGAAGCCTGTGCTGGCCCGCGCGTCACGCGTGGCGCCGGCGCAGAGCGAGAGAGGGGCAGGTCCCCGCGCAGCAAGGGCGGTCGGCTGAGCCCAGAGGCGAACTTCTGCGGAGGCGCAGGTTCCACCGGCCGGGAATGACGCCCCCCGAGGCCTAGGGTCCCGCCCCCGCGGCCAGCCGCCGGCCCTCGTCCGCCCGCCGTGTCCGGCCGCGAGTGTCACCGTTCCTTCGAACATGCTGGCGCCGCTCGCCAGGCGCTCCTGCCCGGGTGAGAGGGAGCTCGGCGTGGGGATGGGTGGAGGGAAGTGGGAGAGCGCGGGCGAGGCGGGCCGGGCCGCCCGGGGGCTGGGAGCGCGCGCCCGCGGCGGCGCGGGGTGCACCTGCTGGTGGGCCCGGCGCGCCCTGCACCTGCTGGTGGGCCCGGCGCGCTCCCCTCAGGCTGCCCCAGTTGGAAGGACTCCTCTCTGGGTTAAAGGTCGGGGACGGAGGACACTTGTCAACACGTTGCCCTCGGCGGGCTCGCGGGCCGGGGGTGGCACTGGAACCAGTGGGCGCCTTTCCCCTTGGGGCGCCCCTGGGTGTTAGCCGTCCCCGCCTCCGGCGGGGTCTCTGCCAGGATTCCGATTCGTGTCCCGCCCGAGTCACCAGCTCTGCCTGGAGCTGGGAATGGCTCTGCGTGGCCTAAGTCAGTTCGGGGGTGTTCCTTGCTGCCGTTAGATACGACCCGTAAAATAAAAAATAAATAATAATAATAAATAAAATAAAAAACTTTAGCTTGAACAGAAGTTTTTACTTAAGAGAGCTTTGAATTCTGTTGTAATCGGCTTGATTTGCTGAATGGCAGGTTTTGGTTATGGAATGCTTAAACACCTGCACACATTGCAAATGCAAGGGTGTGCTTGTAAATGTCAGGAGTAGAATTTTCTAAAGTTGGCTTCCGAGTATTAGGTTAGAACTCGGTCGAAGCTTCTGTTCCTCTTGTTACTACACCAGGGCCCCCTTTTACGTTTGTTGGAATATCCCGGTAGTCAGGCGCTGTCTGCTCCGGATCCTAATTTACCGCCGTCTTGGGCCAGCGCTAACCAAATCCGTTGAAAATGACTGTCTGTTTTCTCTGGATGCTGATTCCTGGCTTTCTTCGCGAACTACTGGCACCAGAGAGGTGTGCACGGATGTGCTGCTGGTGTGACTGATAGGGTGATGTTCTGAGTTCAATGGACTTTGTGCCCTCAGCGCTCTACCAGAATTCAGCCATGGTCCTAAATGTCCAAATCTCTAGTCCGGTAGCAGACTTACTCCAGAAAAGGAGCAAAGGTTGTGGGTTTTTATTTATTTATTTATTTTTTTGTAATCTGGCATTGATCAGACTATGCCGCTTCAAATATTCTCAAGAGAATCCGCAGCCATACAATAATAGAATTGTAGTTTGTCTTGCTCCAGTTATGAATTTTCAGAAGTGATAACTTCTATACACCAAACTACAGTGCATCGTATACTAAATGTCCTTTTAAATGATAACAGATTTGAACTCTGGAACTGAGTTGTTCCGTAATTGCTTCACTTAAATATCACATTTATGCATACTTTCAAGACTTAGATAAGACTTTAAAAGTATTCCAGATACTGTAGTTTTCAGTGTGTGTGTTTACAAGTAGAGAAAATCAGTTTTCTTGCCACATTTTTTTTTAAAGATTATCAAAAACAGGGGCCAGCAGTGTGGCACAGCAGGTGAGGCTGCCACCTGCCAGGCTGGCATACCACATGGGTGCCATTCGTGTCCCGGCTGCTCCACTTCCAACCCAGCTCCCCACCAATGCTCCTGGGAAAGCAGCAGAAGAGGGACCAAGTGCCTGGTCCTGCCCGGCCACTTTGAAGCCCGGTTGGAGCTCCTGGCTCCCGGCTCCCAGCTCCCGCATGGCCCAGCCCTGCCAGATCAGGGCCTCTAGGGAGTGAACCAGTGGACAGGGGATCCCTCCCTCTCTGTCTTTCTCTCAACTGCCTTTCACATAAATAAATCTTAAAATGATCAAGAACAGATTTGCATTGAAAGACTTTAGAATTTCAGCCACTCCAAATCTTTTCCTTTACTGCTGTCATCATAATCTAATTATTAATAGTCTGATGTCAGGTTTTCATTTTTTCAAAAATCATTGGGAAGAATAAAACATCAACAAATATTGTGTAGTTGTGTGCTTAAGAATAAAAGTAATTACCCCACGCTGGGCTGATTTTTATTAAAACGTGTTATCTCTCCAGTTAGTAGAAAAAAGGCAACTTGATTTTTACCACAGTGTCAGGTTCCGTAACTTCAGAGATAATTTTGAATTATAGTCTCAGACCTTGCCAGAGTGTTTGAGAGGATTGTAACGAGTTTAGCTAGGGATCATCTGAATATCTCTTTATTTGCAGGAAGTCACAAAGGGAACATGTAGTATTCAAATGGAAAATCTTCCACTGTTCAGTGTGTCCGGGAAAGTGTAGATTATGTAGGCCAGATCCGTCTGAAATTGTTTGTTCATCTTGACTGTTGCTGTCTATTTTTAGAAACTTGGTCATTTGTGTGTAGATGGTTCATAATAAAAGTCAGAAGAGGCCTCTTCATTATGCTATTTAACTTTAAATCAGAGATTTATAGATTCCTGGCTGACAGTTGAAATTATAACTACGAAGACAGCCACTCGGTTAACGTGTGTGGGACTTCTGTAAGTCATGTACTAGATCCTTAATTACAGATCTGCATGACTGAGATTGACCATAAACTTTAGGGCTGATGGGATAGGGAGAGTTAAGTAACTTGCTGAAGATTTCAGTGCTGTATAATTCACACACTGTGTAGACACTCTGCTTTTGTGTTTGTGTGTGTGGCTGGCTTCTTCCATAGAGCAATATTCTTTTCAAGGTATAGCTGTGTTGTAGCGCCTGTCAGCACGTAATTTCTTTTTTATTGCTGACTAGCATCCTATTGTATGGATAAAATTATCCATTCATGATGGAACTTTGAATTTTCCACTTTTTGGCTGTTAGGATAATTCAGCTATTCATGCAGAAATTTTTGTGTGGACATGTGTTTGTATTTATCTTAGTTGTACACCCAAGACTGTCTTCCACCCTTTGTGAAGAACTAGCATACTGTTTTCCAAAGGGGCCGCACCATTTTACATGCCCACCTGCAGCGTATAATGGCTCCACCTTTTTCACATCCTGGCCAACACTTATCTTTGATTATACTGAGCAGTAACTCCTGTTTTGATTGGCGTTTCCCTAAGGCTAATCGTGTTGAGTATCTTTTCTCATACTATGGGCTGTTGGTATATTTTCTTTAGAGAAATGGTAGTCCTTTCCTGCTGTTTAATTGGGTTGTCTTCTATTAGATATATTAAGGTATTATTATTATATTTATTTGTATTACTAGATATAAAATTTATATATGTTCTGGATACCAATGCTTCCTCAGATATGTGATTTGAAAATACTTTCTTCTGTTCCATGTTTGTTTGTTTGTTTTCGTTTTTTTTTTCTTTCTTTTTTTTTTTTTTTTTTAAGGAGCAACCGGGACAGAATCCGGTGCCCTGACCAGGTCTAGAACCCGGAGTGCCGGCGCCGCAGGCGGAGGATTAGCCTAGTGAGCCACGGGGCCGGCCTCCATGGTTATTTTTCAATTTCTTGATGGTATCCTTTGAAGCACAAAAGGATTTAATTTAGATGAAATAAAGCCTGGGCTGGTACTGTGGCGTATCAGGGAAAGCCATTGCCTGCAGTGCCCGCATCCTATATGCCGGCTCCTCCACTTATGATCCAGCTCTCTGCTATGGCCTGGGAAAGCAGTGGAAGATGGCAGAAGTTCCTAGGCCATTGCACCCGCATGGGAGACCTGGAGGAGGCTCCTGGCTTCGGATCTGCAGAGCTCTGACCATTGCAGCCATTTGGGGAAGGAACCAGTGGATGGAAGACCTCTCTCTCTGTCTCTGCTTCTCCTTCTCTCTCTGTGTAACTCTGACTTTCAAATAAATAAATAAATCTTGAAAAAAAAATAAAGCTTAACTACGCTTTCTCTTGTTGTTTGTACTTTTGGTTGTCATATCAAAGAAACTGTTGCCTAACCCAAGGTTATAAAGATTTACACCTGTTTTTTTGTCCCGAGAGTTTTATAGTTTAGCTTTTATTTAGATCTTTGATCTCCTTTTTGAGTTAACTTTTACATAGCCATATGTTTTAACTTGATTTTGAAATAATTTTAGGCTTACAGATGAGTTGCAAAGGTAGTACAGAGTTTCCCATATATCCTTTGCCAAGCGCCACATCTTACGTAACCATAATATAATTATCAAAAGTAAGAAATTAATATTGATGAAATCTTATTAACTAAACTGTAGACTTCATTCAGATTTTCTTTTTCCACTATAGGACCCAACCCAGGACACTACATGTCACCCTATGGAGACATGTGGTTGTCATGTCTCCTTAGTCAACTTCTATGTGACAGTTCCTCTGTCTTATGTCTCATGACCTTAACGCTTGTGATCTGTACTTGTCAGGCAGGTTGTAGAATGTCTGTCAATGTGAGTTGGATGCTTTCTCGTAATTAGGCTCAGTGTAAAAGTTTTGAGGTTACATGCCAGAGAGGTGAAGAACCTTTCTCATTTCATCATATCAAGGGTTATTTGAAAGGCAGAGTTAAAGAGAGAGGTGGAGACAAAGAGAGAGGTCTTCCATATGCTAGTTCACTCCCCAAATGGCCACAACAGCTGCAGCTGGCCAGATCCAAAGCCAGGAGCTTCCTCCAGGTCTCCCACATGAGTGCAGGGGCCCAAGGACTTGGGCCATCTACTGCTTTCTCAGGCCATAGCAGAGAGCTGGATTGGAAGTGGAGCAGATGAAATTAACCGGTGCCCGTATGGGATGGCGGCATTGCAGGCAGTGGCTTTACCCACTACACCACAGCGCTGGCCCCCATACTTTACTTATTAGAAGCTATTCAGGCTGGCGCCGTGGCTCACTAGGCTAATCCTCCACCTGTGGCGCCAGTACCCTGGGTTCTAGTCCCCGTTGGGGCGCTGGTTCTGTCCTGGTTGCTCCTCTTCCAGTCCAGCTCTGCTGTGGCCCAGGAGTGCAGTGGAGGATGGCCCAAGTGCTTGGACCCTGCACCCGCATGGGAGACCAGGAGGAAGCACCTGGTTCCTGGCTTCGGATCAGCATGGCGTGCCGGCCGTGGCGGCCATTTTGGGGGTGAACCGACGGAAGGAAGACCTTTCTCTCTGTCTCTCTCTCTCACTAACTCTGCCTGTCAAAAAAAAAAAAAAAGCTATTCAATAAATCCAACCCACACTCAATGGGAAAAAAAATTTATGGATGTATAACCATAATCTTTTTTTTAAAGATTTATTTTATTTATTTGAAAGAGTTAGAGAGAGAGCTAGAGAGCTAGGTCTTCCATCCTCTGGTTCACTCCACAGAGGTCCGCAATGGCCAAAGCTGAGCTGATCCGAAATTGGGAGCCAGAAGCTTCCCCCAGGTCTTCCACGCGGGTGCAGGGGGCCAAAGACTTGGGCCATCTCCCACTGCTTTCCCAGGCCATAGCAGGGAGCTGGATTGGAAAAGGAGCAGCCAGGACTAGAACCATTGCCCATAGTGATGCCAGCGCTTCAGGCCAGGGCTTTAACCCACTGCGCTACAGCACCGGCCACAATCATAATCTTTTTTTTTTTTTTTGGACTGGCAGAGTGGACAGTGAGAGAGAGAGAGAGAGAGAAGGGTCTTCCTTTTGCCGTTGGTTCACCCTCCAATGGCCGCTGCGGCCAGCGCACCGCGCTGATCCTATGGCAGGAGCCAGGTGCTTCTCCTGGTCTCCCATGCGGGTGCAGGGCCCAAGCACTTGGGCCATCCTCCACTGCACTCCCTGGCCACAGCAGAGAGCTGGCCTGGAAGAGGGGCAACCGGGACAGAATCCGGCGCCCCGCCCGGGACTAGAACCCCGTGTGCCAGCGCCGCAAGGCAGAGGATTAGCCTATTGAGCCACGGTGCTGGCCAATCATAATCTTTTATACTTTGACTTTCTCTGTTATAATCTTTGATCAGGTAAAATTAATTTTTACAAAAGCTGAATATACTTTTTTCCAAATAACTTTGTAGCTATCTTTGCACTGTTTAATGAGTAACTGTTCTCCCTGATTTGAAATGCCTTTATCACTTACCGCATTCCTGTGTGTATTGTATTTCTAAAGGCTTTACTCTTGCTCTTTTTTTTTTTAAAGATTTTTTTATTTATTTGAAAGGCAGAGTTAGAGAGAGAGGAAGAAAAAGACAGAGAAGTCTTCTATCTGCTGGTTTACTCCCCAAATGGCCGCAACGCCCAGAGCTGGGCCTCTCCGAAGTCAGGAGCCAGGAGCTTCCAGATCTCCCAAGTGGGTGCAGGGGCCCAAGCACCTGGGTCATCTTCTGCTGCTTTCCTAGGCGCATTAGTGGGGAGCTGGATCAGAAGTGAAGCAGCCGGGACTCAAAGCGGCATCCACATGGGCTGCTGGCACTGCAGGCGGCGGCTTTACCCACTATGCCCTGGCACCAGCCCCTTACTCTCCCTCTTATTTATTAGATAGTTTTAAAGATTTAAAAACTTTTAAGATTTCAGGGTGGGGCCAGCATAGCGGCATCAGCATCCATACGTGTGCCTGTTCGAGTCCCGGATACTCTACTTCCCATCCAGCTCCTTACTGGGAAAGCAGCGGAAGATGGCCCAAGTGCTTGGGTCCCTGCACCTGCATGAGAGACCTGGAAGAAGCTCCTGCCTCCTGGCTTTGCATCAGCCCAGCTCCAGCCATTGTGGCCATTTGGGGAGCAGATGGAAGATATGTCTCTGTCTCTCTCTAACTCAGCCCTTCAAATAAATATTTTTTTTTTTACAGATTTATTTTATTTGGCCGGCGCCGTGGCTCAATAGGCTAATCCTCTGCCTGTGGCGCCGGCACCCCAGGTTCTAGTCCTGGTCGGGGCGCCAGATTCTGTCCCGGTTCCTCCTCTTCCAGTCCAGCTCTCTGCTGTGGCCCGGGAAGGCAGTGGAGGATGGCCCAGGTTCTTGGGCCCTGTACCCGCATGGGAGACCAGGAGGAAGCACCTGGCTCCTGGCTTCAGATCGGCACAGCCGGCCTTGGGGGTGAACTAATGGAAGGAAAACCTTTCTCTCTGTCTCTCTCTCTCACTGTCTAACTCTGTCTGTCAAAAAAAAAAAAAAAAAAAAAAGATTTATTTTATTTCAAAGTCAGAGTTACACAGACAGAGGAGAGGCAGAGAGAGAGTAAATTCTTCCACCCTCCAGATGGCCGCAATGGCCAGAGCTGCGCCGATCCGAAGCCAGGAGCCAGGAACTTCTTCCGGGTTTCCACAGGGGTGCAGGGACCCAAGGACTTGGGCCATCTTCTACTGCTTTCCCAGGCCACAGCAGAGAGCTGGATCGGAAGTGGAGCAGCCGGGACTCGAACTGGTGCCCATATGGGATGCTGGCTCTTCAGGCCAGGGTGTTAACCCGCTGAGCCACAGCACCAGCCCTCAAATAAATATTTTTTTAAAAACGACTTAGGGGCTGGTATTGTGGTATAGTGAATTAAGCCGCCACCTTTGCCGCCAGATTCCATATCAGAGTGCCAGTTTGAGTCCCAGGTGTTTTTACTTCCAAATCAGGTCTGTGCTGCTGTGCCCGGGAAGGCAGCAGAACATGACCCAAGTAGTTGTGCCCCTGCACCCACACAGGAGACGCAGGTGGAGTTCCTGGCTCTCACTGTCAGGGCCATTTGAGGACTGAACCGTCGGATGGAAGATCTCTCTTCTCCCTCTCCGTAACTCTGCCTTTCAAATAAATAAAATAATTTAAAAAAAAAAAAAAAAAAGCCAAGACTGAGGAAAACATTGCTTTATGAGAAAAAGTTACCTCAGTTGTTCATCTAGGAAAAGTAAAATCAGTTGCACTTTGTGTCACTCATTGAGAACAACCATTTAGTTTGTGTTTTTCAGTCTACTGAAAACAAATCTAAGAAAAGATAATAATTTCATAATTTTTATGCAGCATTTCTGTGCATTCATGCCTTAAAAATTAAGAAAAATTGTCTACCTCTGTGTACCTCAAGATGGACTTCAACTTCAGTTATACCTCGAATTACTACCCACTATACTGTTTATCCGCGGGAGAAGGACAAGAGATGGGAAGGTAAGTAATAATATTGCTAAAATTACTGAGACTTCTGGATACTTTGTATCACTTTGTGGAGCAGAATATTTCATCTTTATGATAGCTTAAAGGCATCTAGTAATATTAAATGGCCTTAAGAACTACAATACACATTAGTGTTTAGACAAGCAAATATTTGCTAAATAATCTCAAAGCCAAAAGTTGGTTTATAGAAGCTGAAATAAGACACGTACTGTAAGAGAACAAGAAACTGCAGGAATCGTATCCGTAGTGTGATTACACAAAGCCGATGATGAGTGTCTCTAAACCAGCATATGCTTTATCATGTGTTTATCAGATCATGGTACCCTGACAATTTGCATCTACCTTGCGCGGTTTTGTCTCCCAGGAGTGAACATGGAGAGGTTCGCCGAGGAAGCGGACGTGGTGATAGTTGGTGCGGGCCCTGCAGGGCTCTCTGCTGCTGTCCGCCTGAAGCAGCTGGCTGCTGAGCAGGAGAAAGACATCCGGGTGTGCCTGGTGGAGAAAGCTGCTCAGATAGGTGCGCACACCCTCTCAGGGGCGTGCCTAGACCCAGGTGCTTTCAAAGAGCTCTTCCCAGACTGGAAGGAGAAAGGGGTATGAACAGTTGTTTTATACAGACTAACACTTAGTATTTCTGAATTACTCGAGACGTATAATTCTGTCTCTTATGGAATAATTTTGCATACAAGAATGCTTCAAAATGTTTGTGGAAAAATGGAATTAAAAAAAGTTCATCTATAATCCAAAAGTTGCACTTAGGAAATTTGTATTTATTAATTAAAAGCTTTCTATAAAAACTAAATGAAGCACCCAAGAGACACCAGGGGAAATGTGAAACCTGACTTAGTTTGTGATTAATTAAAGGTTTGATGTTTTAAAAAAAAAGAAAAAAAAAGTTCATCTGGGGACCCAATATAGCGGGTTAAGCTGCCACCTATGACACCAGCATCCCTTATGGACGCTGGTTCATGTTCTGGCTGCTCCAGTTCTGATCTAGCTCCTTGCCAATGGCCTGGGAAAGCAGTGAAAGATGGCCCAAGTGGTTGGGCTCCTGCACCCATGTGGGAGACCTGGGGAAGTTCCCGGCTTTGACCTGGCCCAGTGCTGGCTCTGCAGCCATTTGGGGAGTAAACCAGCAGATGGAAGATCTCTGTCTCTCCTCTCTGTTACTCTGCCTTTCAAATAAATAAATATATTTTTTAAAAAATTCATTTTGCCTTTCTCTCTGTCTCTCTCACTGTCCACTCTGCCTGTCAAAATAAATAAATTAATTAAATAAAAGATAAAAAAATAAAAATTCATTTTGATACAAAAAGATTTTTAAATCCATGCTTTTTTTTCATGGTACATATCTTTAATGGACTTTTTCAAGTCCCTTCATAAGCATGGATTTCAAAAATTTGACAGAGATGTCTTTTATCTCCTGGTTTACTTCCCTGCCCCTTAACAGCTAGGGCTGGGTGAGGGTGGAGCCAGGAGCTGGGAACCGCGTCCAGGTCTCCTGTATGGGTGGCTGGGACCCACACACATGCGCCATCACCTCTTGCTTTCCAGGAAGCATTAGGAGGGAGGTGGATCAGCAGTGGGGTAGTGAGGGCTGGAACTGGCACTCTGTTGTGAGGTGTGGGAATCCCGAGTGGCAGCCTAACCCGCTGCACCACACCTGCCCCTTCCACAGACTTGGAGGTACTCTCATGTGTGGTATTTTTAATTTTAAAAAATGCAAAAGATTGAATTGTATCAGAGTTATAATTTAAGATTTAACATTTTAATAGAATTCCTTATACATATTTATTTATGTACTGAATTTAAGAGAAGGCATGATCTTAAGACTTGACTGTACTGAACATAATATAGTATTTTTTAATTGAGGGCATTTTTCTGTAGGTATTTGTGTTCTTAATAAAGTGTTATAAAAGCTTCTTGAACAAAGCAATATCTAAAATCAGAGCATTTCCTGAAGAGACAAATTACTGTGGACTCCCTTAATCTAACCAGCAAAGACAGCGGCATGATATGCGCAGGGCTCAGTGCTGCTGTTGGCAAAGCTGAGTGCCTCTGCCTGTGTGTATCAGAAAGCCAAAACACTGAAGCTGTTGTCTTTTGCAGAGAGAAGGTAACCAAGTAAGGAGTCAGGACTAGTGCTCAGATCTGGCTCCCAGACCAGGGGTTGGGGGAAAATTTGTTGATTAGGTGGGAGGGTGCTGGTATGCAGAAATGCTGGTGAGGCAAGTTCTGATTGGAGGTGCTTGAAATCCGGCCAGCATAGTGCTACCGTGATTTAAATAGCCCTCATAAGGAAGTAGGAGCATAATGTGTATACGTATATGTATTCATGTGTATATATATATATATCCTTATACACACACGCACACGCACCGAGTTAGGCCTACTGTGAAAGCATAAGAGGGAAAATGATGGAACTTGGAAGAAAAGACTGCGGAAGCGTAATGAGGGTTTCTGAATTTGGGGCGGAGGGGAACATAGCAAAGGGGCGATGTCACCAGTTGTTCTTTACTCTCGGATAAAACTTCGTGACCTTGCTTAACATCTCCCCATATCAACTTCTGTCTTCCGTAAGATGAAGTATGGCAAACCTGTCCTAGTTCCCAGGATGGAATAGTCTGTGTCTATGAATGTACTTGATAAAGATCAGAAAATTAAAAATGTCTTGTGTATTTTTCCATGCAGAATAGGATTCTGAAAATTTCAGTTACGCTCGCCTTTCTAAAGTACCAAACAAAAGTGGAGTAATGCTAAACCTTTTCCTTCTTTTTCCTTCTAGGCTCCACTTAACACTCCTGTAACAGAAGACAGATTTGGAATTCTAACAGAGAAATACAGAATTCCTGTGCCGATCCTTCCAGGTAGGGCACCATGGATTCCACAGCTGGGAGGAGCTGCCCTCCTGTGGAGAAGTTCCCTCCTTGGCGGACGAGAACACTGAGGCCCAGAGAGTGCAGGCTTCCCGAGGTGCACAGCGAGCGTGGCAGAGCTCAGTCACGCATCGGCTAGAGCTGCGACGGCCTGTGACCAGCGCTTCAAGGTTGCTGTCAATCTAAGGAGTTAGCATTCTAGTGAACATTATAAACTAAGTTAAAGTCATGACCAAGATAACGTGCACAGTTACGCAGAATACCCACGGATTAGGATGTTTGAGTATTTGTGTTGTTAAGATGCATTACCGATAACAGATTCACAAAGCAAGCATGTATTCGTAGGTCTTCCAATGAATAATCATGGCAACTACATTGTGCGCCTGGGACATTTAGTGAGCTGGATGGGAGAGCAAGCAGAAGCCCTCGGTGTGGAAGTGTACCCTGGATATGCTGCTGCCGAGGTTTGTAGAGCTCTCCTTTACTTTGTTTGACGTTTGTCTGTTTTATCTACTTGAAAGGTGCAGACAGAGAGAGAGAGAGAGAGGGCTTCTGCCTACTGGTTCACTTCCCAGTGCCTGCAACAGCCATGATCGGGCCATGCTGTATCCAGGTCTCTCAAGGAGCCAGCACTTAAGCCAACTGCTGACCCCCAGGATGCAGCAGCAGGAACCTGGGATGTGGGTGTCGTGAGTGCCGCAGCTTACCCTGCTGCACCACATCACTTGCCCCAAGTTCTGTTTCCTTCTTGATGTTTGTAGGAAGTAACATCTTCATTTTGAAAATAAAGCATCAATGCATACCTTATAAAAGCCATAGAATTTGGGCTGGCACTATGGCATAGCAGGCAAAGCTGCCACCTGAGGTGCTGGCTCCCCATTTGGGCACCAGTTCATGTCCTGCCTGCTCCGCTTCTGATCCAGCTCTCTGCTACGGCCTGGGAAAGCAGTAGAAGATGGCCCAAGTCTTTGGGCCCCTGCACCTGTGTGGGAGACCCGCAAGAAGCTCCTGGCTTTGAATTGGCTCAGCTCCAGCCATTGTGGCCATTTGTGGAGTGAACTAGTGGATGGACCCCTCCCCTCTCTCTCTGCCTCTGCCTCTGCCTCTCTCTCTCTGTAATTCTGCCTTTCAAATAAAATTTAAAATTGTTTTAAAAAATCATAGAATTGTAGAATTGCTATATCAGAAGGAAACTTAGATCTGACACATAGAGAACTTAAATTCCTTACATTGTATCCCCATCAGCCAATTTTCCAACTTAGATTTGAACACCATAAGGGACAAAAACTCCTCTGTCAGACATGGGGACTATTGGTAATCTCCTCCTTATATTGGTATAAAGTATCTGCTGTTTTGTACTATACAAAACAAATCTCTTTCAAAGACAGCTTGCCAGTTATAATCACACGGTACTCTCTCTTCTGCTTCACCTTTATTCTGGAGTTTTTTCTTCCATAGACTAAATATCCTTATTTTTTTTCTGTCCTCATGTTACTCGTTTGAGATCCTGCAGTATTCTTGGCCGCTTCGGAAGGCATTCCTTTTTATCCTCTGCATAAAGTGGCACCCGAAAGAAAGGAACTACGTCGAGCCTAGTGTAGAACTTCATTCTAGAAACTCTTGTTCCATTAATTCCTCGCGAAGTAACACCTTCTTTGGCAACCATATAGCGCTATCGATTCTTACTGTGTAGTATTGGGGAAATTATTAAAAATAAAATCTCCTGCCAGGCCAGAAAAACCCTCTCCACAAATGGTGGGAAAAACAAAAGCCAGCTGTGTGAGTGAATGAGCTTTAACCCAAGGCTGCAGTGCATGTCGCAGTCCCAGAAAGAAATACTGCCTTTTATTTAAGGTATACAAACTTGTCACGTTTCATATATGCAAATGTAGGAACTTTGATTCTTCCCGCTTCCCTCCTGAAATACAGCTCTTTAGAACAGCCAGACAGCTAGCGGTCCCTGACGTACATGTTAATTGTCTCACCCAAAGGAAAAAGAAAACCTGACTCCCTCAGAGACAGGAGGCAGGATGGCAGCAGCCTTGATGTTCACGCCGCGCAGTGTGGCTCCAGAGCCCCAGACAGGCATTCGTGGGACGCAGACCTAGCAAGAGGGTTTACAGCTTTTTAAAAGACTCCCACCTATTGGAGAAACAGAAAGGGTTTAGAAAGTGGCTGAAGAAATGCCAACAGTGAGGAGCTGGGGTCGGAGGTGGGAGGGGGAACAATTCCTCTGTTTTTGGAACCAGTAAAAATCCAGGTTTTTTAAATTTGTTTTTGCTGGGGCCAGCGCTGTGGCATATCAGGTAAAGCCTGCTGCCTGCAGTGCCAGCATCCCATATGGGTGCTGGTTCAAGTCCCAGCTGCCCCACTTCGAATCCAGCTCCCCTGCTAATGCACCTGGGAAAGTAACGGAAGATGGCCCAAGTGCTCGGGCCACTGCACCTACATGGGAGACCAGGAAGAAGCTCCCGGCTCCTGGCATCAGATCACCTCACCTCTGGCTGTTGCGGCCAGCTGGGAAGTGAACCAGAGATGGAAGCCAGCTCACTTGCTCTCTGTCTCTCCCTCTCTGTAACTTTTGCAAATAAAATAAGTCTTTAAAACAAAATTTGCTTTTGCCATTACAGTATATAAGTCAAACTAAATATGTAGGTTGCTTTGTTAGATTTGCTGCTATGAATTTCTGCTTCCTCAGCCCACACAAGCACGCCTGGCGTTTGGACCCAGGTTTGGGCTTTTCCATTCTCCTTGCTAAACGTTCTTAACTGGGATCAGTGTCAGGTCTCAGGAAGGTGATTTGCAGAACGCACGGTTTTCACTTTTTGAGTAACACACATCTCATTCCTCTCCTCTTCCTCAGTCTCCTAATGATATAGTGGACAGATCACCATATCCATTTTATTTATTTACTTACAGAGACAGACTTCCTCCCCAGATGACTGTGCCAGGCCAAAGCTGGGAACCAGGAACTCACCCCAGGTCTCCCATGTGGGTAGCAGGAACCCAAGTCCCTAAGCCATGTTGCTGCTTCCCAGGGTCACTGAATACAACTACTCTGATACAGGACGCAGGTGCCATTTGGTTTCTCTCTGAGCCAGACTTCAATAGAAACCTTGCCTTACCTTCCTACTCCCATTTCCAGTGTGCATCTTGACTTTATTTTTTTTTAAGATGTGTATATTTATTTGAAAGTTAGAGAAGGAGAGACAGAGATTGAGAGAGAGAGAGAGAAGTCTTCCATCTGCTGGTTCACTCCCCAGCTGGCTGCAACAGCCAGAGTTGCACTGATCAGGAGCTTCTTCCAGGTCTCCCACATGGGTGCAGGGGTCCAAGGACTTGGCCACTTCTACTGCTTCCCCAGGCCACAGCAGAGAGCTGGATCAGAAGTGGAGCAGGCGGGGCTGGAATGGGTGCTCATATGGGATGCCAGCACTGCAGGCAGCGACTTTACCTGCTATGCCACAGCGCTGGCCCCACATCTTGACTTTAATATCCAAAGGACATTTCCTCCAGAGAGGAAGCAGAAACAAAGATTATGGAGTATTGCCATTTGTCATCTTCAGACTCATACTTTGGGTCTCTTTCCCTTCTTGCTTCTTGCTCCAGAAATAAACCTTAATCACCATAGTGTCTTAGCCTCTCGGTTTTTTTGGGGGGGTGGGTAGGGGGAGCTCTTAATTCATTTGAGGCAGGCTTCTTGACACGTTTCCCTATCTACATTCATGGTCTTCATTTACTTTGTGGGCCCTGACTGCAGATTCTGTACTCATGATTTGATATTTCAAGAGACCTTCTTGTGTAAATTTACTGGTTTCGTTACTGGCTTCCACCCACCTTTTTTCCCTCAAAATTTAGCACTGTTTTCACTTCTGTTTGAGCTGTGATTATTTTATATACTCTAGAAGGAATTATCTTAAAAGTATGTCTCTGGGCCAGCGCTGTGGCATAGTAGGCAAGGCCTCCACGTGCGGCACAGAATCCCGTGTGGGCACTGGTTCTTGTCCCAGCTGCTGCTCTTCTGATCCAGCTCTCTGCCTATGGCCCAAATGCTTGGTTGGGTCCTGGCAGTACATGGGCACCGGAAGAAGCTCCTGGCTTCAGATCGACTTAGCTGCAGCTGTTGCAACCATTTAGGGAGCGAGCCAGCAGATGGAGGACCTTTCTCTCTGCCTCTCCCTGTCTGTGACTTACCTCTCAAATAAAATTAAAAAATCTTTAAAAAAAATAGTATGCCTCCTTTTAGCCTTAACATTTTAAAACTTGTGTTTCTAGTCTAGAGAACAGGCTTACTTAGAAATCTAAGGCCACTTACTGTTGCTTTTAAAAGTTATTATAATAAATTTGTTTTTACCATTTTTAGGTCCTCTTTCATGAAGATGGTAGTGTAAAAGGAATCGCCACTAATGATGTAGGAATACAAAAGGACGGTGCACCAAAGGTAAACTTTCAATAGCTATGTGTTTAGTAGTCTGACAAACCAGTCTCACTAATCTAGGTCTTGATACAAAGTACACATTAGTTATGTACATTTTAGAATGTAAATTATTTGGCTGGCAGCATGGTTCACTAGGCTAATCCTCTGCCTGCGGCGCCGGCACCCCAGGTTCTGGACCCGATTGGGGTGCTGGATTCTGTCCCGGTTACTCCTCTTCCAGTCCAGCTCTCTGCTGTGGCCCGGGAGTGCAGTGGAGGATGGCCCAAGTGCTTGGGCCCTGCACCCCATAGGAGACCAGGAGAAGCACCTGGCTCCTGACTTCAGATCGGTGCAGCGCGCCAGCCGCAATGCACCAGCCGTGGTGGCCACTTGGGGGGTGAACCAACAGAAGGAAGACCTTTCTCTCTGTCTCTCTCTCTCTCACAGTATAACTCTGCCTGTCAAAAAAAAAAGTAATTATTAACACAGAATTTTTCTTTCATTATTAAAAACTATAGCAGCTTTGAGCTCAAGATGATTTAGGCAAGTAGATATAACACGTTTAATTTCTTTGTTATAAATTTTTTTTTTTTTATTTAAAAGGCAGAGAGTGTCAGACCTTCCATCTGATGGTTCACTCCCCAAATGCCTGCAACAGCCAAGACTGGGCCAGGCCAAAGCCATGAGCTTGGAACCCAGTCCAGGTATCCCAGATGTGGCAGGGACCCAGGTACTTGAGTCATCCACGGTGCACATCAGCAGGAAGCTGGAATGAGAAGTGGAGACAGGAACTAGAACCTGATACTCTGATAAAGGACCTGGGTTCCCCAAGTGGCATCTTAACTGCTACACCAAATGTTCACCCCTAAGAATAATTTTTTTTAAAGATACACACAACTCAGGGGCTTGTGATGTGGAGCAGTGTGCCTGAGTCCCATATTGGGGTGCTGGTTTGAGTCCCAGCTTCTCTACTTCCTATGCAGCTTCATACTAACCATACTTGGGAGGCAGCAGGTGAAGCCCCAAATAGTTGGGCCCCTGCCATGCACACGGGAGATCCGGACGAAGCTCCTGCTCCTGACTGTGGCCTGGCCCAGCCCTGGTTATGACAGGCATTTGGGGGGTCGACCAGCAGGAAGCTGAATCGGAAGTGGAGCAGCTAAGACTCGAACTGGCACACTATAGGATGCCTGTGTCCCAGGAGCCAGCTTTACCCATGTGTCACAATGCCAGCCCCACTCTGTATTCTTGTATACAGTAACTTTTATTATTTTATTCAGTACCCTTACTGAGTACCTACTATGTGGCAAATACAAAACACATAGCAAGAGAAAACAGAGATAAAACTCATTAAACTTTTTATACCAGGGAAAACTCCAGTTTTACAATACTGTGTATTCAACAACAGGGAAAAAGTAAACTTAAGGTGAAAAAATCAAGAATCCAAGGAGTATGTTTAGTATGACCCTCTGTGTTAAAAGGCCTTTATAGTTTTTTATTCATGGACATTTCCTGGCATGATTCACAAAAAAGCTATTAAATGTTTTTCGCTTCAAATGATAAGACTGGAAAATTAGGAACAGTGGGGAAATGAGCTTTTTACTTTATATTCATTTTTGTAGAATTTTTCTAATACGAGTTTGCTTTTGTCAAAATTTTCATAGAATTTAGTCTTAAGTATTATTTTACTATCTTCTATACCTAAATCACAGTTCAGCTTAAAACTGGTCAAAATGATGAAAATGTACTTTAAGTTGTCCATTGTTGCCATCTAGCGCGTTTTTGCTTTCAGACAACATTTGAGCGAGGACTGGAGCTCCACGCCAAAGTCACGGTTTTTGCAGAAGGTTGCCATGGACACCTAGCCAAGCAGCTTTTCAAGAAGTTCGATTTGAGGGCCAACTGTGAACCCCAAACCTATGGGATCGGGCTGAAGGAGGTATCTGGTTTATTTTTGCAATTTAAATTCATCTGAATTTCTGTCTAGTTGAATCGACTTAATTTCACAGTTAAACTTTTCACTTTGAAATGTTCGTATGACTAAAGATGCTTGGGATATTCTTTGATGAGGTGTCTGGAAAGTATCACCACACCCCATTCTGTCTAAGCTGTCCCTCCATTGTGGGATCGCTGCATCGAGTGTTTCCTGACATGAGGCTTCGTCGTGATGCCTCTGCCCTGCTGGGATTGCGGTTTGTAGGGCGCCCCACGCTCTCCAAAGAATGTTTGTTCAGAATTGAAATGTGAAGATGATTCACAAAATACACGCATTGACACAGTGTGTTGATCTGCAACCCAAAATTTAATCAGGTTAAGTGTTACATATTTTCTCTGTTCCTTAGTCTGTTTTCCCAGATTATAGGCTCAGTACAATGTAAAATGTTAATTATAGCCATTTTGCTTTAAAAATTTATTTATTTGAATGGCAGAGTTACAGAGAGAGGAGACAGACATAGCTTCCATCTGCTGGTTCATTCCCCAAATGGCTATGATGACTGGGGCTAGGTTAGGCAGAAGCCAGGAGCCTGGAGCTTCTTCCTGGTCATCCACATGGGTGCAGGGACCCAATCACTTGGGCCATCCTCAGCTGCTTTCCCAAGCACATTAGCAGGGAGCTGGATCAGAACTGGAGAAGCCTGGAATCAAACTGGCCCCAATATGGGATGCTGGTGATGCAGGCAAGTGGCTTAACCCACGAAATCATAACACAGGCTCCTTAAAAAATTTTTATGGTTAATTCTCAAAGTTTCAAATGCTACCTATAATTAAATTAAACAACAAATAAAGGCTGCACATGATATCAGATTATACATAATATTGATTTTTCAGATAACATTTCAGAGAGTCTTTAAAGCTTAAGACTTGGGGCCCAGCACCGTGGCTCACTTGGTTAATCCTCCGCCTGCGGCGACAGCATCCCATATGGGCACCGGGTTCTGTCCCAGTTGCCCCTCTTCCAGGCCAGCTCTCTGCTGTGGCCCGGGAGGGCAGTGGAGGATGGCCCACGTGCTTGGGCCCTGCACCCCATGGGAGACCAGGAGAAGCACCTGGCTCCTGGCTTCGGATTGGCACAGTGCCAGCTGGCTGTGGTGGCCATTTCGGGGGTGAACCAATGGAAGGAAGACCTTTCTCTCTCTCTTTCTCTCACTGTCTGTAACTCTACCTGTCAAATAAATAAAAAATCTTTAAAAAAAAACAAACTTGAGACTTACTGATCTATCAGGTCTCACTGTTCACATAGTGAACACAGCACGGCAGCCTCCAGATGGGGGTGGAGACCATTACCAGCACTCCCCAGTCCTCTTGGTCAGTCGTGTTCCCGTGAGCACATGGAAGTCTTGCCAGTCTAAGGATCTAATGTCTGAAAGAGCTCCTAGTTTTCTGATTTGTGTCTTCACTCAGATTTAACATAATACAATTTTCCTTGCCATATGACGCAATTTTTTTGTGTTTTCATGTTAATAGTTTTGCAGTTGTAATTAATGCTTTAGGACTTGTGACTTCCTTTGCTTTGTTTCAGTTATGGCTTATTGATGAAAAGAAGTGGCGGCCTGGGAGAGTGGATCACACTGTCGGATGGCCCTTGGACAGACACACTTACGGAGGCTCTTTCCTCTATCATTTAAATGAAGGTGAACCCCTAGTGGCTCTTGGACTTGTGGTGAGTTACATCCCCATTAAGGAAAATCCTACTAGAATTACAGCATTATCAGCATTATAAAGCAAGTTTTAAATCTGGAGGATGTAAAATGCTTTATTTTACTAATAAAAAAACTGAAGGTCAAACAGGTGAACCATCATTCCCAAATGCACACGTCAAATGACAGACACACACACGACAGAGGCGGGAGTCGTGCAGGAAGCTGCTGACACACACACACACACAGAGGTGGGAGTCATGCAGGAAGCTGCTCACACACACACACACACACACACATGACAGAGGCGGGAGTCATGCAGGAAGCTGCTCACACACACACACACGACAGAGGTGGGAGTCATGCAGGAAGCTGCTCACACACACACACACGACAGAGGCGGGAGTCAAGCATGAAGCTGCTCACACACACACACACACACACACACATGACAGAGGCGGGAGTCATGCAGGAAGCTGCTCACACACACACACATGACAGAGGCGGGAGTCATGCAGGAAGCTGCTCACACACACACACACACGACAGAGGTGGGAGTCATGCAGGAAGCTGCTCACACACACACACACACATGACAGAGGCGGGAGTCATGCAGGAAGCTGCTCACACACACACACACACATGACAGAGGCGGGAGTCATGCAGGAAGCTGCTCACACACACACACACACATGACAGAGGCGGGAGTCATGCAGGAAGCTGCTCACACACACACACACACACACACATGACAGAGGCGGGAGTCATGCAGGAAGCTGCTCACACACACACACACACACACACGACAGAGGCGGGAGTCATGCAGGAAGCTCCTCACACACACACACACGACAGAGGCGGGAGTCAAGCATGAAGCTGCTCACACACACACACACACGACAGAGGCAGGAGTCATGCAGGAAGCTGCTCACACACACACGCGCGCGACAGGCGGGAGTCAAGCATGAAGCTGCTCACACACACACACACACACACACACGACAGCGGCGGGAGTCATGCAGGAAGCTGCTCACACACACACACACACGACAGCGGCGGGAGTCAAGCAGGAAGCTGCTGACACACACACATGACAGAGGCGGGAGTCAAGCAGGAAGCTGCGTGCCTTCAGCGCTCATCTGCACTGTGACGTGCTGCCACTGAGAATGCAGCTCACATTGTGTTTGAACCTGCACGTTTTTAAAAACACTAGCAGTGAGTCCTGTTTTGGCCAACTGTGTCTTTGCAGTAAACTACATCTTGAAGATTACTAGAAATGGAAAAGCAGAGTCTGCACCTTGCATTTGGTGGCAGCTTTGTGATTTAATGTCATGGCTAATCTTGTAGGCGACACAGTTACATTTATTTACTATTGGCGTGTCCCGACTCCTAGCCAAATGTTCAGTCTGTCACCCTGGAATGGCCAGGAAAAGGTGTGGTCACAGGCGTCAGCACTTTAGTGACTCTAGAGGGCAGCTTTCTGCATCCGTGCTGCTTTCTAACTGCGGCTGACCTCCACTTTCTTCATGTTTGCATCAGTGGAACTGCAGATAGTTTATTTCTAGAGTTATTATGGGTAAATAGTAAAAATTACAACTTCCTAAAACATAGACATTTACAGATACTTGTCTGATTTGGACTTTGATTTCCAGAGCAGAATGATTTAATCTAAATTTTTAAAGTTTTACTGATTATGAACACATGGTATCTTTGTTGATCCTTTTTTTCTTTTTTGTTTTTTGCTTTTTTTTTTTTTGACAGGCAAAGTTAGACAGTGAGAGAGACAGAGAGAAAGGTCTTCCTTCCGTTGGTTCACCCTCCAATGGCTGCTATGGCCAGTGCGCTGCGCCGATCCGAAGCCAGGAGCCAGGTGCTTCTCCTGGTCTCCCATGGGGTGCAGGGCCCAAGCACTTGGGCCATCCTCCACTGCACTCCCGAGCTGGCCTGGAAGAGGGGCAACTGGGACAGAATCCGGCGCCCCAACTGGGACTAGAACCCAGGGTGCCGGTGCCGCAGGCAGAGGATTAGCCTATTGAGCCGCGGCACCAGCTGATCCTTTTTTTCAAACAGATTTTATATAATTTTTAATTTGCATTACTGCATATATTTCTTCATATTGAGTACAAGAAATGTAACATGTTTTCTGATAAATATTGCTCACATCTTAATTTGAAATTAAAAATGCCTAATTGAGGCATATTTAGCCTACTGGTAAAGATGTCTGTGCCACGCATCAGGTGAGGTCAGTTGTCAGCTACAGCTCCTGACCCCATCTTCCTGCTAATGCAGATCCCAAAAGACAGCAGGAATGACTCCTGCCACCCACATGAGTCCTGGATTGAATTCCTGGCTTCAGCCATGGCCACTGAGGGCATCTGAGGAGTGAAGCAATGAGTGAAGCTGTTTCTGTCTCCCCTTCCCTCCCTCCCTCCCTCTACAGAGTTCTTTAAAAAAAACTCTTCACACTTTGGCATTAGGCAGGGTGATTCTTAGTTTTTCTACAGTCTGGCAGAATTTAATTTTTCTCACTGTCAGGGAACCCACTCAGCTTTGTAACTTCTCAGTTCTCTGTAAGTAAACTTTTAAATGTCTAGTGGTAAAGTATATTCAAATTTAAATACAAATATTTTAAGGTTGGCCTGGACTACCAAAATCCATATCTGAGTCCATTTAGAGAATTCCAGAGGTGGAAACACCATCCCAGCATTCAGCCAACACTGGAAGGTGGAAAAAGGATTGCCTATGGAGCCAGAGCTCTCAATGAAGGTGGCCTCCAGGTAACGTGCCCAGCGTCTTGCTGTTGCTCTTTATTTCTATACTGTGAATTCAGACTTGAAAATGCAGTGCAGGGCACGTGTCTGGAGTAGCAGTTCAGATGGCTCTTGGGACGTCTACGTACATCCCAGTTCAGAGCCTGGGTGTGAGTCCCAGCTCTGCTGATACACTGAGGGAGGCAGAGGGCGGCGACTCACGTCCTTGGGTCCCTACCACCCATATGGGGGATGGGACTCAAATGCTGGGCTCCCGGCCTCCGCCTGGCCCAACCCCGAGTTGCATGCATTTGGGGAATGAACTAGATGATGGATGCTCTCTCTGACTCTGTGTCTCTGGTTTTCAAGTAAATAAAAAGTTTAAAAAGGAAAATACATTATTGCTGAAAAATAATCATCTGAGTGTTGGAAAAATAACACCAGGAGACTTGTCTGACACCGGGCTGCTACAAACCTTTGGTGTGTGAAAAACACTGTGCAAAGCACAGTGAAACTTAGTATGCTTATGTATTTTTCAACCTTTCCCTACAACTAGAAGACTTGAAAAGTCTATGATTCTAGCTATTCAATTTTATTTGTAGAATTTGAGCTAGTAAATAATATTCTGAACCTTTCTTTCCTCAGTCTATACCAAAGCTCACCTTTCCTGGTGGTTTACTAATTGGCTGTAGCCCTGGTTTCATGAATGTTCCCAAGATCAAAGGTAGCCACACGGCAATGAAAAGTGGAATTTTGGCAGCAGAATCCATTTTTAACCAACTAACTACTGAAAATCTCCAATCAAAAACAATAGGTAAGAAATTCCTATTTTAAGGTTAATTAGCAGGTTATGTCTATTTCAGTAAGATACATACTAAACAACTCCATGACCCCTCATAATTAGGTTTGATAATTTTTGCTCACATCAAAAGCAGACTAGTACTGGTAGTGTCCCACCCACCTAGAAACTTTCAGAGTCAGGTTCTGCGTTTACATTGCACACATCTATATACACATGGGGTACCTCACAGAGTGAGCTCTCCACCCTGAAAGTAAAAGTCTGCAAAAGGCAAGATCAGCGCCCACCCCACTGCTTAGCAAGCTCTGCAAGCACAGGTATGTGACTCTGCTGTGGTGGAGTGCGAGTTCTGGCCTTCCTCTAAAAAGAGCCCCTGATTTTCTCAGAGAGGACGCGTCCCCACCCCTCTGACTTCATCTGTTACCATCTGTGCCAGTAACACTGGCCTCTTTATGTGGACACTGCAAAAAGCTTATGGAAAGAGTGGAATTCAAAGTACAACTTTATCTACCCCTGCCTGGGATGAAAATGCAGAGAGAGAAGGGACTTTGTTCATTATGAACTGTAGACACCTGGCATTTAGTAGCGACTCGAACCCCATTCCTTAAATCCACAGGTGATAAGTGTTCCTCTATTTAGAAGTGTGTAACCTGGTTATTTCCTCAAATATCATTATAGGAATGGAGGCTTAGCATGTGAGACTGGAAGGAGGGAAGGTAGAGTATAGACAAGCCAAGTGTGCAGTTTATGGAGAACAGAGCAGGCAAGATGGGACTGTGGGATAGAACTTTTCTCATGTCTGCTTGTACTGTTCTCTGTTGCACCACAGCCATATTTTAACTGTTATCACCTACAACTAGTACTGCAGCCACTTTAACACAAAAAACTAAAGATAGACGTCTGAAGCAAAGGGATGATTGTGGAGTGCAGTTACTACAATTAATGAAGGGCGAGAAGAACCCACTCTGCCCGGAAATACTAAACATCGGCACCAGGCTTCATTTCCTAGGACTGCACTAACAAAATACCACAAACCGGGTGGCTTCAGACAGTGGAAATTTATTTAAGCCAGTAATAAATAGTGGAAGTAACTGTAAGCCCAGGTGCTGGCAGGACCATGTTCTCAAGTCTGAAGATGGACCTCTGCGCACCTCTCCCAGCTTCAGACAGCACTGGGCCTTCCTTGGCGTGTGGCGAACTCTGGTCTCGGCCTTCATTTCCACCTGGCTGGCTGCTGTGTCTGATAAGACACCAGTCACATCAGCCTGGGGACCCGCTCTACTCCAGTGGAACTCAGTTGCATCTGTAACCACCCTTTCACAAAGTCACAGTGTGAGATACTGGGGTTAGGGTTTCAAAATACATTTTTGTGGGGACACCTTTCAACCTGCAACACATAGTATTTTTCACTTTCATGGGTAGGATAAGGCTTAAGCTTCCTTTTTAGTTTCACTGAATCTTGAAACCAATTTTGCACACTGCCAGGATTAAGGAATCAAATGCCATACTGCCCAGAAATGTATACTAGGCATATTCAAAAAGTTTATGGAAAATATGAAAAAAACTATGCATGAATTTTAAAATTTCTTTGCTCTAGTTTTCCATGAACTTTTTGAAGTATCCTTATATGGAACATACATGCCTATGTATATAAGGGTTCAGGAAGATATAATTAAAAGGTAATACATGATTCCCGTGAGCTTTCTGACGGTCCCTTGTGTGTGATTACCCTTCTAGAAGATGCCCAGACTTACACACGGTCCTTCAGTACTGAAATTCAGTCATCAAATACTTCTTAAAAATCAGTATACTGTGTGCTTTGGGGCAATTTCAGACTTGCCATTTTATGTTTTTAATAAAAGGACTCCATGTAACTGAGTATGAGGACAACTTGAAGAAATCGTGGGTATGGAAAGAGTTGTACGCTGTCCGAAATATCAGGCCGTCCTGCCACGGAGTGCTGGGTGTGTATGGAGGGATGATTTACACTGGAATATTTTACTGGATATTCAGAGGAATGGAGCCATGGACTCTAAAACATAAAGGTAATTCACACTTACTTGCGGGTATGAGCATAATCATCATTAAAAATGGATGGATGGGTCCATTAATTAGTGGAGTTAACCTTTTTTTTAATGTTTCCAACTTGGTTAATCAGAGGAATTACAAATTCGTTGTCTTTAAAAGAACAGAAGAGCACTAAAGCCCTATTTGTTACACCACCTTCCTGCCCGTTAACTACACACACACACACACACACACACACACACTTAAGGTGGAACTTCAGTGATGTTTTTATTTAATATCTTCATCAACATTGAAGGCAGTGACTCCGACAAGCTCAAGCCAGCCAAGGACTGCACACCTATTGAGTATCCAAAACCTGATGGACGGATCAGTTTTGACCTCTTGTCGTCTGTGGCTCTGAGTGGTACTAATCATGAACACGACCAGCCAGCACACTTAACCTTAAAGGATGACAGTATACCTGTGAACAGAAACCTGTCAATATACGACGGGCCAGAGCAGCGGTTCTGCCCTGCAGGTCAGTCATGGCTTCCACCCATTGCTAAGTGTAATAACAACCGTTGGCTTTAAACACTGTCAGAGAAATGGTTTACTTCCCCCCACTGCTTGGAAATGGTTGTGAACGACGCCTGTAGTCAGCCTCCTAGGAAATCCACTCTCAACTGGCAATGCTAATGGAAAACTTCTGTCAAGCCCGGTTTGCCCTCGTCTCCTGTCAGACTAACGGCTATGAACGAGCACTACCTCTCTCCGCATGTTCACGTACTTATTTTTCAAGATTTATCTGAGAGGAGGCAGATCTTCCATCCACTGTGCACCACCCAAACGGCCGCACAGCCGCACAGCCGCACAGCCGGGGCAGGTCAGGCAGCGGCCAGGGATTCCATCTGGGTCTCCTCCTTGAGCGTCATCTACTTCCCAGGCACACTGCCAGGGACTGCATCAGGAGTGGAGGAGCCGGGATCAAACCGGCACTGGGACCGAGGCGCAGGCAGCCCAGGCGCCATTAGCACAAACATATGTATGCATGGTTACGGCCACCTTCATGTCCTAGAAGTTCATCATGAACAGTGTTCCTTCTAGTGCCGAGTTTGCAGCTAAAATCACAGTAATAGGAACTAAGTCTCAAATGATATAAAGCAAGTAAAGTATTTTAAAATTTCATGGAAAATACGTAGTATGGAGGCTGGCATTGTGGCACAGTGGGTAGGTTAGGCGGGCACCTGTGACACTTGTATCCCGTGTGAGTCTCGGCTGTTCCACTTCTGATCCAGCTCCCTGCCAGCGTGCCCGGGGAAAGCAGCAGCAGATGGCCCACGTGCTTGGGGCCCTGCCATTCATGCGGGAGACCCAGATGAAGCTCCTGGCCATTTGGGGAGTGAACCAGCAGATGAAAGATCTCTCTCTCCCCCTCTAACTCTGCCTTCCAAATAAATCTTTAAAAAAAAGTATGTATTAGGGAAAAAATGCATGGATTTCAGCACTTTTTTGCACCAAATGATGTCCCCATGATCTCTCTGGAAGTAGCCTTGTGTGAGATTAATACACTCTCCAGAGACTGGGACTGAGGCTGTTCCAGGACAAGGACCTGGACTGTAACTTTGAATACACGGATTATAAACTCCGAGTGTAAGGACTGAATCTGTTTCAACTACAGCATGTATTCATGGAGGCCTCAAAAACTTAATAGAAATGCACTTTATGAAAAGATTATGCATGGAATTCAAACTTTTTGGAGCTCCATGGTATATATGCACATCAAAGGTAAGCACCCTTGGCAGTGAGGCTCAGCCAGACACTGCTGTGCTTCCTCTTACTGTGTGTGCAGTCTGTACTAACAGTAGTAGCGCACACCATACATTTTCACATCTCTAGACAGAAAACAACCTTCACAGGTAGCTACTATTCAAGCTTTGGTTCTCTAATAGTTATTTTTTTTTAAACAGGGGTTTATGAATTTGTGCCTTTGGAACAAGGTGATGGATTTCGGCTACAGATAAATGCTCAGAACTGTGTGCACTGTAAAACGTGTGACATTAAAGACCCAAGTCAGAATATTAACTGGGTGGTACCTGAAGGTGGAGGAGGACCTGCTTACAACGGAATGTAAACCACAATCGACTTCATTCATTTGCAGGCACATTTGACAGCCAGTTTTTTAACGTGTAAGGCAAGTTAACTTTTAAAGGTTAACAGGTACCAAAAAAGAGCATTAATTGTCAGGATGTGCACAAAATAATTACCAGTGAAACAAAACCTTTATACTACCATTTCTAGAATTGTCCTATAAAATTTATAAATATTTCCCTTAAATAAAACTTTGTAAATGATGCAGCATCTACTTACCACTCTGCTGTCCTCTGATTTAGTACTAACAGAAAAATGCACTTTTGACCTTTACAGTTAACTTGCCAAACTGAAGTCTTAAAGTCCAAAAATTAACATATATTCTGGACCAGGGGTAAGCCTCAGCTCATCCCTTACTGTGAGTGTGGTCTTGCTGAGATACAGCTGTGCTCACTGGTTGTCTGTGGCTAATTTTGAGGCAGAAGTGCAGAGCTGAGATGTGACAGACAAGCACTGCAGAAAAAGGCTGGGCCAACCCCTGAACAAGAATATGCAGGTGGTTCGAACAGTTCCTGGACAAAATGAAACTCAGAGCGCAGTCTGCAGCATAAACTTTTCCCATAGTTTTTTTTTATAAAACACCAGCACAAACCAACTACAACTACAGATACAGCAAAGAATTGGAGGAAACCACAAAAGCTCTCATCTACTTACCCAGCAAAGTATATGTTTAAGAGTTTAAACACTGGCTGTACACCATTATTTGAAAATGAAGCGACTTTACTGTAACACTTTTATTAAGAGTAAACCTTTATCAGTATTCCTAACTGTAAACAATGGGAGCTGAAATGTCACAGGAAACACATTAGGGGTCACAGACAGACCGTGACCCTTACATTTGCTTAATGCCTTGGTGTAACCAATGCAGACTGGTTAAGCAAACATTTTTGCATATACTGCTTTCTCTTTGTCTTTCTGTGCCTTTATCTTCTGTTTGACTTTCAGCAGTTCTGCCTGGATAGCTGCAAAATAAACATGCAGTGAGTTATTTCTCAAAATCCAGCAAATTAGGGTGATTAGCAAGTTTTTTTTTTAATAATAACTAGCTTCCCCTTGATAACACCTCTTAAGAACAATTGTAAAAACTAGGAAGAGCTGGAAGCTGTCAGCTGAGGGACGCCATTACGTAAACAGGCCCTCCCCACCAGGGAGAGCACGACTGCCTCCCTTGTTCTAATTCAGCAAGACAAGACCAAAGTTTGGTTTTCCATATGCAGACCTTATGCTCCTATTCATACTTGGACGGTTTTTTTAAAAACGACTTTTTGTCAAAGTGTCCCTAAATCATGTATCCAGTAGCTACATGTACGTTATAGTCACATTCGGCTCAAATCTATCAGTGTTGAGTTTTCAACTGGAATCACAGGAACCAGGTCTCAGATGAGAAAGCAGGGCAAACAGTATTCAGCTACATGAAAAACTAGCACATTTTGAGGAACTAGAATGTAAGCCCCTTGAGGGCAGGGACCTTGACTGTCTTGTTCATTGCCATATGATCAATGCCTGGCCCAATTACAGACATTCTGTAATACTAGTTGAACAAATAAATCAGATCTGGCACAGTGTACAGTGGCTCATGAAGATCAACTTTTAAAGGGCAAAATGAATGTTTACTACAAAAACTGCCAACCTACCTTTATCTTCTGGCGCAATCTCCTGAGCTTTCTTAAGATCAGCCTGTAGAGGGGAAAAAATTAAGGAAAAATTGGGTCTATAATTTATAAAGGTAGCTGTTTAAAAAAAAACTTGAACACGTAGAACAGAATTTACCAAAGCTTCATCATATTCCTTTAAGCCTTGCCATCCTTGAGCCTTGCGGTACAGGGCCTTGGTATTCAATGGGTCTATTTCAAGAGCCTGCAAAGAAATCATAAATGGGTATTCACAGCTAAGTATTACATTATGTGCCAAATCGCAATTTATTTTCTGTTGGATCTGCAAACTAAATAGCCCTCCTTTGCCAGCAGGTTCAGTACTAGACTTTGTCAGCAGAGGGCACTAAATGGACATGGAAGAGAAAGACTGGGCTTTTGCAGGCTGCATGTGCTCCTCTCAGTACTGGAGTTTCTATCTCAGAACTCGGCCCTAATGCGTTTATGAAAAAATCGTAATAAATAAGAATCTGTATCGTGTCACCTCTTAGTATCTGTTAGAGGACATCGGTGGATACCAAAACCCACAGGTGCTCGAGTCCCTGACATAGAGTGGTGTGGCAGCACTTGCATACAGCTAGCGCGGGTACCGGTACCCTGCTACACAGTGTCGTCTCCAACACTCCACCTGATACAGTGTAAAGGCTACCAGACAGTCATGCTGCATTGTTCTGGGAACACTAAAAATGGAAAAGAGTCGTTCACGTTCAGTACAGAGTATTTCTAATTTACAGCTGGTTGGATTCAACAATATAGAACCCAGATACAGAAGGCCAACTGCACACTTGTTCACTTGCTATCCACATTTCTAAATTAACAGCTCCCACCCTAGAAATGTTTAAATAAATATATTGTTTTCATAACATCTTTTAAATTTTCACTCAGATGTTTACCACAGAGGGTATAACGTGTCTTCCTCACAAAGGTCAAAATGAGATCCAGAAGAAAAAGTCTTCTTGGATAATTTGCCTGTTGTACACCACCTTCTAACTACATTCCTGCTTACCCTTCAGCCCAGCTTCCTGAGCAAGAACCTCATTTTAGTTCCGCCTGCTCTGAAGACAGCTAACCTGTGCACACAATTAAAACGTGCAAACTCCATGAAATGTTGTGGTCGGTGTTGTGCAGTGCGTTAGGCCACCACCTGCAAGGCCAGCATCCCATACGGCACTGGGTCGAGTTCCGGCTGCTGCATTCCCAATCCCGCTCCCTACTAGTGCACCTGGGAAAGCAGGAGATGGCTTTCGTGTCTGGGGCCCTGCAACCAAAGTGGGAGACGCGGGTGAAGCTCCTGGCAGCCCAGCCCCGCACTGTGGCTGTCTGGGGAGGACACCAGCGCTCTCTGCCTCTTCCTTCTTCTAACTCTGCCTTTCAAATTAATAAATCTTTGAAAAACAAAATGTGCAGCTTAGAAAAACTTTCAGACTCGACCACGGGGAAGAGTCATCATTGCTCTATTTGAGGAAAGCAGTTCTTTTATGGATTTATTTATTTGAAAGGCAGAGTTACAGAGCAGGAAAAACAGAGCGAGCTCTTCCTTCTGCTGTTCACTCCTCAAACAGCCACAACGGCCAACACCAGGCCAAGGCAAAGCCAGGAGCTTCTCCCAGGTCTCCCGCGTAGCTGCAGGGCCCCAGGCACTTGGGCCAACTTGTGCCGCTTTCCCAGGTACATTAGCAGGAAGCTGGATTGGAAGTAGAGCAGCAGGCACTAACTGGCACCCATGTGGGATGCCAGTGCTGGAGGTGGCAAGCTCTTTCTAGCTTTATCAGTTATACATAGACGACCCTCAAAGAAACATGACATTCCTCTGTGTCCAGGACTGCCCAGTCTCCCTATACACTTCCTGACAACCCCAAACAGAAATTCCCTCCTATACCAAATCTATGAAGCTTCTTGAGGATGTGGGTCTGTGTGTTAATTAAAATAACGTTTCAGGACAGGCGATACGGTGCAGTGCTTAAAGTGTCACTTGGGACACCCACATTTCACATCCGAGTGAACCGAGTCCCTATTACACTTCCAAGGCAGGCTCCTGCTGATAGGTATCCTGGGAGACAGCCCACGATGGCTCTGCTACCCAGTGTAGGGCCTGGATGGAAGTCCAGGCTCCTGGCTTTTGAAGTCATCTGGGGAGTGAACCAGCAGACAGTATACTGTCATTCTGCCATTCAAATAAAGCAAAATAATTTTAAAAATGATATAATTTTAAAAATAAGATAACCAGTCCCAATTAGGTACATAAAATGTGCCAACCACTGTCAAACGTTACTTTACGACAGTACTTCAAAAAGTTCATGAATGACATCCACACCTGTCAGGACTGGAACAGATTCAAGTTTGTTTTCAGTAGACTTCAAAGATTAAAAAAACAGTTCATGAAAAATGGAATGGATAAGTTTACTTTTACATTGGTGCAATTCATGCCGAAAGTTTGAGCAAAAATAAACATCTTTCAATCTCACTTTTCCAGAAACGTTTTTTTGAAAGGCAAAGAATCAAAGCTCCTATCTGCTGGTTTACTCCCCAAATTCTTGTGACAGTTAGGGGCTGGACAGGACTGAAGCCAAGATCAGGAAACTCAATCCAAGTCTTCCCCGTGGGTGGCAGGAACCCAACGACTCAAGTCCTCACCTCTGCCTCCCAGGATCTGCTAGCAAGAAGCTATAATCAGGAACTGGAACCAGAACTGGAACCAGAACCTGAACCTGAACCCGGAACTCAAGCGGGACACAGGCATCCTAAACAGTATCTTAAACACTAGGCCCCTCCATGAACTTTTGAAGTCCCTCATGTGTTATATTTGTAACTAGCCCATGAGGTAGGTATTATTTCCATTTTACAGATGGAAGAATAGAGCCTCCAAATTTAGCAGCGTATCCAAGATTACAAGGCGCGTGAATGGCAGAGATCTCACTTAAAAAACCACGTCTAGCCACACCACCCAAATTCCTAGTCATTCCTGGCACATTACAGTTGCTCTTAAATGAATAAATGAGCTGATACACATGCTTTGAAGGAAAAAAAACCTCAAGTATCTTAATAGGTATTAAGTGACAGTTATAAGCAACGTGAATGGACTGAGAACTGAGGTCCAAAACAGACAAGATGACTTCCATCACATTTTAGCAAGCCTTACTGGATCCTATACAACAGATACACATCAATGTGTAATAGTGTTTTTGTTCACGTTATTATGTGAAAGTCCAGTCCCTTCAAACGAGCTTACCTCCAGACAGCTGTCGATGGCTCCCTGCCAGTCTGACAGCTTCAGTTTGCAAGCACCAGTGTTCAGCACGCAGCTTAAAGCTACAGGCTGCAGCCTCAGCCTGTCTGCTTCCTCAGCGACAGCTCTGGAGCTCTCCACGTATCTGGAGAACATTTTCAGAAAGGCAGCATGCGGTGTTACACAACGAGAGTTCCTTCAACTGTGTCAAAAGGGCTTACATCATTTCTGACTAAGAACCTCAGCAAATGCTGTCCATACTCTTATTAATGATCACAATCTTTTTATTAAGTAGTATTTCTTTTGGAAGTTTTGTTCCAATATTTTTCCCTGAAGTGTTCAAAAAGGCCAACCCAACAATTCCCAAATCTAATTATGCACTCATAAAACTCCTATTTTTAAAACTCAGGCCCTGCAAAGTGTACTTTCAGACATTATGGGTTTTTAAGAAAGCTTTTATTTAATAAATACAAATTTCATAGGTACAACTTTAGGAATATAGCGGTTCTTCCCCTCATATCCACCCTCCCACCACCTACTCTATCCCATCCCATTCTTCATTAAGATTCATTTTTAATTATCTTTATATACAGAAGACCAACTCTATACTAAGTAAAGATTTCAATAGTTTGCACCCAAAGTATAAAGTATTGTGTAAATCAAGTTTTACCGTTAATTCTCCTAGTAAAACTCATCAAGGACAGAGGTCCTACATGGGGAACAAGTGCACAGTGACTCCTGTTAACAACTGACACTCTTATTTATGACATCAGTAATCACTCGAGGCTCTTGTCACGAGCTGCCAAGGCTGTGGAAGCCTCTTGAGTACACAAAGTCCATCGGTATTTAAACAGGGCCGTATGCAAAGAGCACGTTCTCTCCTCCTTTCAGAGAAAGACCTCCTTCTTTGATGGCCCGTTCTTTCAGGTGGGATCACTCACAAAGATCTTTCATTTACATTTTTTTTTTTTGCTTTCCATGCCTGAAATGCTCTCATGGGCTTTTCAGCCAGATCTGAATGCCTTAAAGGCTGATTCTGAGGTCAGAGTGCTGTTTAGGGCGTTTGTCATTCTAAGTCTGCTGTGTGGACTGCTTCCCATGTTAGATCATTCTCTTCTTTTTAATTCTATCTATTGTTATTACCAGACACTTGGTCTTATTTATGTAATCCCTTTGACCCTTTTTCCTATCTATATGATCAGTTACACACTTAAAATGAACACTTTAACATGTAAGATGGCATTAGTACCACCCAGCTTAATGGGATTTGGAGTCCCTGGCCAAGGTTTTAGCTTTACCCTTAGGGGTAAGTCCATGGGAACATGTGCAGAACTGTACATCTCCTCCCTCTTATTCACACTCTTATTTTTTACCGGGATCTATTTTTTTTTTTCCCGTGAAGACTCCCATCACGTCCGCACCTGCCCCTCACCTCACACAACCGGCACTGGGATCTATTTTCAATTAGATTTAAACACCTATGAATAATTCTGTGCTAAGTAAAGAGTTCACCCAATAGTATTATACAGAAAAAGAAAATCATAAAAAACTAAAATAAATTTTTCCTCGACAGTTAAGACAAAGGCTGCCCAAGTCATTGCTTCTCACAGTGTCAATTTCACTTCTACAGATTTCCTTTTAGGTGCTGTTAGTTGTCACAGATCAGCGAGACATTATGCTTGAAACT